TTTTTGAGCCGAATTCTGACTCTCTGCACCTATTTTCATTTTCAAATTACGACTTTTTATACCGAAAATATGCCAATTACTGAAAACGGCGATGGGTCATATTTTGCCCAAACCCCCCTGCAGTTTTCAAAATATCTGAAATGTCCGAAATTTGACTCCTGAGCGTGATTTTTGAGCCGAATTCTGACTCTCTGCACCTATTTTCATTTTCAAATTACGACTTTTTATACCGAAAATATGCCAATTACTGAAAACGGCGATGGGTCATATTTTGCCCAAACCCCCCTGCAGTTTTCAAAATATCTGAAATGTCCGAAATTTGACTCCTGAGCGTGATTTTTGAGCCGAATTCTGACTCTCTGCACCTATTTTCATTTTCAAATTACGACTTTTTATACCGAAAATATGCCAATTACTGAAAACGGCGATGGGTCATATTTTGCCCAAACCCCCCTGCAGTTTTCAAAATATCTGAAATGTCCGAAATTTGACTCCTGAGCGTGATTTTTGAGCCGAATTCTGACTCTCTGCACCTATTTTCATTTTCAAATTACGACTTTTTATACCGAAAATATGCCAATTACTGAAAACGGCGATGGGTCATATTTTGCCCAAACCCCCCTGCAGTTTTCAAAATATCTGAAATGTCCGAAATTTGACTCCTGAGCGTGATTTTTGAGCCGAATTCTGACTCTCTGCACCTATTTTCATTTTCAAATTACGACTTTTTATACCGAAAATATGCCAATTACTGAAAACGGCGATGGGTCATATTTTGCCCAAACCCCCCTGCAGTTTTCAAAATATCTGAAATGTCCGAAATTTGACTCCTGAGCGTGATTTTTGAGCCGAATTCTGACTCTCTGCACCTATTTTCATTTTCAAATTACGACTTTTTATACCGAAAATATGCCAATTACTGAAAACGGCGATGGGTCATATTTTGCCCAAACCCCCCTGCAGTTTTCAAAATATCTGAAATATCGGAAATTTGACTCCTGAGCGTGATTTTTGAGCCGAATTCTGACTCTCTGCACCTATTTTCATTTTCAAATTACGACTTTTTATACCGAAAATATGCCAATTACTGAAAACGGCGATGGGTCACATTTTGCCCAAACCCCCCTGCAGTTTTCAAAATATCTGAAATGTCGGAAATTTGACTCCTGAGCGTGATTTTTGAGCCGAATTCTGACTCTCTGCACCTATTTTCATTTTCAAATTACGACTTTTTATACCGAAAATATGCCAATTACTGAAAACGGCGATGGGTCATATTTTGCCCAAACCCCCCTGCAGTTTTCAAAATATCTGAAATGTCCGAAATTTGACTCCTGAGCGTGATTTTTGAGCCGAATTCTGACTCTCTGCACCTATTTTCATTTTCAAATTACGACTTTTTATACCGAAAATATGCCAATTACTGAAAACGGCGATGGGTCACATTTTGCCCAAACCCCCGTGCAGTTTTCAAAATATCTGAAATGTCGGAAATTTGACTCCTAAGGCTCATTTTTGAGCCAAATTCTGACTCTCTGCACCTATTTTTATTTTCAAATTACGACTTTTTATACCGAAAATATGCCAATTACTGAAAACGGCGATGGGTCATATTTTGCCCAAACCCCCCTGCAGTTTTCAAAATATCAGAAATATCGCAAATCTGACTCATGACCCTTATTTTGGAGCCGAATTCTGGCTCACCATATCCCGCGCTACTTGCAACTTTTTGTTCCCAGTAGCTGCATGACTCTAAACCAACCACGACGTCTAAGGACGGAGGCCAGGCGAGGGGCTCTGCCACACACACACATAAACACTTGCACTGGCAATCTTTCTCCAAACCATTGTTTACACCCCTTTGATAAACCATGTAGCTTTCATACGGAAAATTTGGTTTAATAATGCACTTACCCAAGTACTGAGTCTTCTCTTAGATTTCATTGTTCATCTTTAGATTATTATTATTATTTTTATTATTATTATATCAAAATTATCCATATTTGTTAAAAAGTTAAAAAAGCGGGTGTAGGCTCCTGGCGGGAAGAGGGATCACTATGATAAACACAGGTGACAACATAGTGAGGGATCACTATGGCAGGTGACAACATAGTGAGGGATCACTGTGATAAACACAGGTGACAACATACGAGGGATCGCTCTCTCGTCAATGGTGATTTAATTTGTTGGTGAAAAGTTGGAAGCGGTGCAACGAGATTTGAATTTGTGTTTGTTTACGGTCGATATCCCTTGATTGTTGCGGTTGTTAGTGTGGACATCCATTGTTTGTTGTGTTTGTTTGTCGGTGATGTCCAATGTTTTGTTGTGATTGTTTACGGTCGATATAAGTTTAATATGTGCTGTATACATAAACTGGCTTCCTGTCCCCCGATACAATGAATTATGTCCATTGTTTGTTCCGGCAAGAACACGAGTGATCCCGAGGCGCGTAGTGATGACGCCAAGCTGTGTGTTTGTGTGTGTGTGTGTGTGTGTGTGTGTGTGTGTGTGTGTGTGTGTGTGTGTGTGTGTGTGTGTGTGTGTGTGTGTGTGTGTGTGTGTGTGTGTGTGTGTGTGTGTGTGTGTGTGTGTGTCTGTCTGTCTGTGTTGTGTGTATGCACCTAGTTGCATTCACTTAGTTGTGCTTGTGGGGGTTGAGCTCTGCTCTTACGGCCCGCCTCTCAACTGTCAATCAACTGTCTGTATTCGGGTTCTGTCTTCCCGGGTTCTGTGCTCGTCCGTTACAGAGTTGATCATATCCATCCGGTTTGTCGAGTTTTTCCTTCAGTTTGCCTTCTCACTCCTTCCATTTTCTGTGTATGCCGTTATTTTCCGAGTTAATCGCTTTCATTCTTTATGTCAATATTTTCTTCCGTACATGTTCAGTGTTATGGCACCATGGCAGGCGTCATGACACATCCATATAATGGGTGCCAGCATATTGTTAATGTTAACAAAAGCAATAAATCAAATCAAAGACTTTATTCATAAATGCCTCTGTTTACCCTGCAGTAAATAAGTATATACTCGCTGACGCGAATCCTCTATTCTCTCATGTTAGCCAAATATCCCCAGTTTACTAACTGTAGGTAGTAACTAAGTGATTGTAACCTATCCACCGCTGCCCACTGGATGGGGGGCGGTGTGCAGGACAAACATATAAATTGTGACACTAACTCTCCACACATGTCAGTTGCTTAACTTAGAACCTGTACTTGAGGTCGATCTCGAACCCATTGTTGATGTGACGACTTATATTGAATTTTGTAACTAGTTCATCAAGATTGTAACTTGCTTAACTAAATGAATTGTGGGGTTCAGTCCCTGAGCCTATTATGTGCCTCTGTAACCCTTTCCACTACCGCCCACAAGATGGGTATGGGGTGCATAATAAATGAACTAAACTAACTCTCATGTTAGGTACACCAATCATTCTATTGCTTGGCCTTCTGCCAAAATAATCTTTCCTGCTTCCTAATCTCTAAATACGCTGTGTTGTTGAATCATCTCTCGTACATAAGGTGAAGCTTAGTCCTGGCTTTGTTGCTCTTGGCTCGTGCCTTTCTCAGTGTCTAGTTTAATGCTCTAATCTCTTGACCAAGAGTGACGTGGATTATCTTTCTGCCACTCTGTGTTCTCCTTCTATCTCTTCTGGTCCTATCTCTTTGTGTGTCTACTTTAGTTCTCTCTTCGGTCTTATTTCACCTTAACTCCTCTTAATGTTGTCTTCTCTTTCCTGCTGATTGATGTCTTGTTTTTCCTTTCTTTGCGTAGGGAAACAAGCCAGTGAGCACCATATCCAAGTGCAACGGTAATTCATCGTTGACATTAATGTTACTCTTGGATGTCGTGCCCTCTGGAACAGTGAAGGTTTCTTGGGGTCTTCAGGTCCAAGCGCCCTCCCTGGTCACCTTAGTAGTATCTCAACTTCAGATAAAATAATTACCTCTCGTACTACAACAAAATATAAATAAATATAAATTTATAGTCTCCGTGGTGTAGTGGTAAGACACTCGCCTGGCGTTCCGCGAGCGCTATGTCATGGGTTCGTATCCTGGCCGGGGAGGATTTACTGGGCGCAATTCCTTAACTGTAGCCTCTGTTTAACGCAACAGTAAAATGTGTACTTGGATGAAAAAACGATTCTTCGCGGCAGGGGATCGTATTCCAGGGACCATAGGATTAAGGACTTGCCCGAAACGCTACGCGTACTAGTGGCTGTACAAGAATGTAACAACTCTTGTATATATCTCAAAAAAAAAAAAAAAATTGCAGGCATGACACAAAATATATAATATCAGTACAGTGTCATTCAATAAGTATATATTTACAGTGTCATTCAATAAGTATATATTTACAGTGTCATTCAATAAGTATATATTTACAGTGTCGGGATGAAGCTGTGATGATTCAGCTAAACCAACAGGGTGTTTCAGGAAGAAGGGTCCTGTCAGAACCTTCTGCTGAAAATGATGAGTCAAGCAGCGCTGAGGTTGATTCTGGACAACACTGTTCTAGGTCTTCACAGATGTTTTGCTTGCTCTCAAATTAGCTTTGTTAAGCTGGTCCCATATATCATGACACTTGAATGCGTATCGTGTGAGTGAGCATATGGGATGCTCACAACCTCGAGGGGTTCCAATACTCACAGCGAGGTCAGAATCATCAGATGCCATAATATATTTTGTATACAAGGCTCCAAGGAGCGCCTTGAGATGACAACGTTACAGGAGGTCTTCTGAGGGGAGACTAAGGTGTCAACCTCCGACACCACACCGCAGTGTATCACATCTCTCTCTCTCTCTGCCACAGGCAAAAACGGAGTCTCAACTTTGTAAACGGTATCGTTTCCTAAATAGAACCCGCTATACGTATATTCATTTCCCTGCTCAACACAATTTCCCTACATGATTTCAGAATCAGATCTTATATACCGCAAGTTGACGGAACATTAGCATAATCTCCATATTCACAAATGTTAACTTAACAATAACTCTCACCTTGAGTATGATGTGCGAAATGTTCACTTTCAGTTGGTTGTACACGCTGACACTCCGACACTCTGCAACAGAGGAAAGAATTCGTGAATTGCACCTGAAGTCGCTGGAAGACAAAGGAGTTGGGGGAGACACGATTAATTCACAATATTCTCAAGAGGATTGACTAGATAAAGACAGATTATTTAGCACGGGTGATACTCGCACAAGGGAACACAGGTGGAAACTGAAAACCCAAATGAGCCAAAGAGACATTAGAAAGAATATTTCAGAGTAGTTAGTAAATGGAATGCATTAGGCAGTGATGTGGTGGAGACTAACTCAAACACAGTTTCAAATGAAGATATGATAGCTTCCAACAGGCTCAGGAACCTGTACACCAGTTGACTGACAGTTGAGAGGCGGGACCAAAGAGCCGAAGCTCAACTCCTGCAAGCACAATAAGGTGAATTATGCGAGTACTGACGTCATCGAGTCTCTCAAACTCAGTTGCAAATATAGTGGGAAAATGAACAGGATCACTAGTGGCGTAATTATTGTTTTGGTCACTCAGTGATACACATTTGAGGCTCCGGCTTGCGTCTTAATACCTCGGTACCGAGACAAACACACAGCCGTGTCTGCTCTCTACCTGTGGTAGTCACACGAGTGCTCTCCTCACTCACACACAAGACACAGTGTCACCGTCACGGTTCTAAGTGAGATCCTCATATTTATCGTTCATTTGTGTGTATGACGGTGACCAGTTACAGGTCTGGCACTACACACATGCAGACCTACATCTGTAACATCTGCACCATCACAACTCACCTCACAACATTTTTCTTCCAGCATAAATATTCTTGAGCAACATCCTCGGATCTCTTCTTCATACATATTTTTCGACTCATTTTCCCTCCAAAATGTTTCCGGTGACGTAGCCTGCGTCCGTCCGCTGCCTCCCAGAGACACAAGTACTAGTCTCTGTAGACAACACCGTCTCATTCAGTAACGTCACGTTAAGAGGTCCAAACACTGGCATCTTCACCATTATTGTCACTGCCAGACGCGTAAACATTAGCCTCCTCACCTGTGCTCTAACTTTCAGAGCCCTGCAGTACAAATACATTTTCCAGAGACATGTAATGGCTGGCTGTGTACGTACTCAACCACTCACCACTGTAAGCCACTGTTCTAACCGTTCTATCTGCTGGTTCCGATACTGTGTTTATTTGGACTTTTATTATTAATATACTTGGTACATCTGCAATTTTGCAGCTATCCTACACTATATGAATGTAGAATAGCTGCATAGACCCGGGTGAGCGCCTCCAGGACCCGGGTGAGCGCCTTCAGGACCCGGGTGAGCGCCTTCAGGACCCGGTTGAGGGCCTCCAGGACCCAGGTGAGCGCCTCAAGGACCCGGTTGAGGGCCTCCAGGACCCAGGTGAGCGCCTCAAGGACCCGGTTGAGGGCCTCCAGGACCCAGGTGAGCGCCTCCAGGACCTGGTTGAGGGCCTCCAGGACCCAGGTGAGCGCCTCAAGGACCCTTTTGAGCCTCCAGGACCCAGGTGAGCGCCTCCAGGACCCAGGTGAGCGCCTTCTTAACATTGTGACGTTAAGAAATCTCCTTCACGCGTCTCTTTATGTTTCAGTCTCCGGTAGGTTCCCTTCACGTTACACTGTCTCTCTCCTCACTTGTGACCCGTCCACACCTCCCCAGCTGCCACAAAGGACGTCACCTTGTGTAAGCTGTATCACCGTCAACTCAATCATCTTGAACAAGACTAGCATCAAAACCAGCTTCAAAACAATAAGGGGGGAAAATAGTTCATGGAATAAATGGAGAGCCTCTTTGGAGATAGCTAATGCCGTTCCTCCCCATAACAGAATCTATTTGAGGCAGTCGAAATCTCTTGTGGAGGGTTGCGGCGTGTAGAACGGCTGACTGCAGTCATTCACGATAAAACCTGGAACTTGGCGGCAGTCAATGGGGCACATGGGGAGGTGCTCCCTGCAACACCACCAACACTTCAAAACATTCTTCCAATACACAGAAAGTTTTGGACTTTAATATTGAAGTGTTTTGAATTGTTTTGATAAATATAATCTTATTATCGCGAGTTTCTATTTCTCCTCTCGTTATCTCTTACATTATATCTCTCTCATTATCTCTTATCTCCCTCCTACTCCCCCTGACCATCCAGCAGGTCAGGGTAGTTGCCCTGATACTATAAGCATTATGAAAGTGGCCCGGATAATAAGCTTCCCACGTTCTCCACACTTCCATATCCTCCCACGTTCAACAAATGCTCCATAAACTCCCATGTCCAACGCACGTTCTAATCTCTACCACGTCCTACAATGTTACGTACAATGCTGTCTTACGAAGTCCCATATACTCCTGTTCTTCACAAGTGTCAACATACCCTTCCATGTTAAGCCCCATGTCCTATTCCCTCCCATGTCCGACCCCCGTCCCATTCCCTCCCATGTCCTAAACCCACCGACTTGCTATGTAATAATGCTAAGCACGATAATAAAGATCAATAATGCAGTTGCATCGAAATAGCTATTAATAAAAAGTGCTTCAATAAATTCAGTACGAGGAGTGTACTTCTACAGGCATACTGTTCAGCTGCTGTGTTGAACAGCCAGAGCCAGTACAGGCCACTTGCTTGTTGAACATTTAGATGCTTTGTTGAACAGTCAGTTGCTCAGCAGGTAATGTAATGTGTTGAGCGCGTACGTACGTTTAGAACAGTCAGTTTATAGTCAGTTTATATGTTAAACAGTCTTATACTTCGCAGGTTGATGAGTAGAACAGTCAACAGTCGTACTGAACAGTCAACAGTCGTACTGAACAGTCAACAGTCGTACTGAACAGTCAGCAGCAGCTGCTGTAATGAAGGGTGAGGTGGTGTGTATGTACATGTAAATGAAGACTGTTCAAGTGATAATTATCAAGAGAAAGCACTAAGTCAGTACGAGCTAAGTATAGCCCCGGGAAGGGATAAGATGACAAGGATAGGAAAGAAAAGGAAAGGAATGGTGCCCAAACACTTGGACCATCGGGGATCGAACGGCGACCTGCTAGAGGCGAGACCGGTATGTTTAAAAGAGAGCTAGAGCACTATAGTGCTCTAAGCCTAGTCCACCACACCTGACCCAAACACCTTGAACCAATGCACACTACTTTCTTCCCCGAGGAAACATTCCCGGCCATTATGCCTTTTTTGCTGTCCTTTGACGAGATGTGTAGGTCAGCTTTAGTGGCCTCATGCAAGGCTCTGACAGTTGGGATTGCCGATCCATCCACGGACTGCCTCTCCGACCAGCGTGTTTGGGGGTAAACAGAAGGTTACGTGGAGCGTAGATCACTTGCCAAATAGTCCATGTCCGAGTGCGAGTACTGGTTAGGAGCAGGGATAGTCTGGGGGAGGGGGGGGGGGTTCTCCAGGACTCACCCGGGTCCTGGAAGCGCCTCCAGGACCTGGGTGAGGGCCTCCAGGACCCAGTTGAGGGCCTTCAGGACCCGGTTGAAGGCCTTCAGGATCCAGGTGAGCGACTTCAGGACCCGGTTAAGCGCCTCCAGGATCCGGGTGAGCGCCTCCAGGATCCGGGTGAGAGCCTCCAGGACCCAGGTGAGCGCCTCCAGGACCCGGTTGAGGGCCTCCAGGACCCGGTTGAGGGCCTTCAGGACCCCGTTGAGGGCCTCCAGGACCCGGGTGAGTGCCTCCAGGACCCGGTTGAGGGCCTCCAGGACCCGGTTGAGCGCCTTCAGGACCCGGGTGAGTGCCTCCAGGACCCAGGTGACCGCCTCCAGGACCCGGTTGAGGGCCTCCAGGACCCAGGTGAGCGCCTTCAGGACCCGGTTGAGGGCCTCCAGGACCCAGTTGAGGGCCTTCAGGACCCGGGTGAGGGCCTCCAGGTGGCGGGCCTCGCCAGCACCAGGCGAGGCCCGCCACCTGCGGCAGACGCGCCACACCATGGCTGCCACACGTGGCAACAGCCGCCCTCACCTCACACACCATCCCGTCGGCTGTTATAACATTCACTGAACCAACACTATTACTCGGCACTCTCTTATCTCAATGTTCCACTGTTCCTCGGTGTCACTCTGAACTGGTTTATATAATGTCCCACTGAAGATCTCACTGCGTGAAGTTACTTCCACAGAATGTCGCTTATTCGGATTCCTGGCTTAACTAAGAGTCTAAGAGCGCAGTGTTCACTATCTCCATAATGCTACTCGGTCCATTGTGAACCAGTGGTCGCCCTCACAATCACCCTTATGGCTTGTTAAGGATCACAAGCCCACTCTAGCAATACTGAAACTGCCGCCCGAGGTAACGAGTTGGTTTGCCAGTGTCTGGGGAGTGTAAATGTTGTGCTCATAGCGTTTCTCAGGCAGTATTCTCCCACGGTTAGCTTCAGAGGTTGGCTTCTCTGCTTGCTCAAGCCTGTGAAGTTGACACAAAGAACTGCGTCCTTCGAACTGCCTTGGGCAGCCGAAATTATTCAGCGGTCCTGTTATCTTAAAACGACAAATCCGGCCACAATTTATCCATCTACTCGACTCGGTGACAGATCAGCGCCTTCACACATGATATAAGACACTTGAAGGAATCTCCTGTCTTCCTGTCATCTGGGTCATATGATCTTCACTCCTAGCAATGTGACTTTCTTTTATCTCACAAAACACACATACCAGCGTGTGTAGACGAGATAGTTGGTATGATTTAAAAATCATGTTAATACTTTGATCTTGACTTCAAGCTATGAAAATATTCATTAAAGCCTTATTGTAATTAGTAATGTTTAATTATGACCCAAGTATACCTCACGGTTAAGAATGAATACATTCAACTACAGACATACATAATCGCCAATTTCTTGATTACTAAGTGTGTGTTAGACAGTCTTTAAGCTTAAGAGTCTTATATAATCTTCAGATTTGCACTCGTCTTGTGATTACTGAAACATGGGAATGCCTTGATGACCACACTGGGGGAATTATAGGCATTAATTATTTTACCACACTATAGTCGGCTAGTGTGAAGTAGTAGAGAGGGTAAGATTTCATTCAAGAACTCGTCACTACAGCTACAAAAATATAACAAATGAAAAGTTTTGTTATTTCTTTTGTGGTATTTTTTGTTAGAAATGACAATTCGACACGGAATTTATTCTTATTTTTTTTTAAAATGGCTGCATATTATCTTTAATAATTTGTTTCATGATTAAAGTGCTGTGTGCTATGGTCTAATTCCCTTAAAGTTACTTGCTAATTATATATATATATATATATATATATATATATATATATATATATATATATATATATATATATATATATATATATATATATATATATGGGTGTGTGTGTGTTGTACCTAGTCGCCAGAATGCAGTACTCGGCCTACTATGCAAGGCCCGATTTGCTTAATAAGCCAAGTTTTTCTGAATTTATATATTTTTCGATTTTTTTTCTAATGAAGTGATAAAGCTATCTATTTTATAATGACTGAGTTAAGTTTTTTTTAATTTGAGTTAAAACTAACGTAGACATATGACCGAACCTAACCAACCCTACCTAATCTAAACTAACATTACAAAGTCAATCATGTTTGTTTTGTCAATAATTATTTGAGTAAGCATGTCATATTGGTCAAATTTCGGTAATGAAAGCTAAGAGCAGTTTGCGTTGAAGATAGAGTATTAAGTTTTGTTGATGCCCGTTTTCTGTGAATGACAACCCTATCGATCCATATATTCGGTGGGAAACTACAACAATTAATGTGCACTTTTTGATTGACAGTTTGGGGAACAAAGAGACGTGTCCTCCCGCTGACACTGTTAATTTATTTCGGCATTATACTGTGGTGTATTTTTCCCCCCAAACCAAAGTATATTAACAACCTGTCTATTCATGAGCAATACGAATGAATGTGATTTTTTAGTGGCAACCCCGAAAGGTCCTTTGGCGGGGGTGGGGTGGAAGAGGGGTTGCTGGGAGGGGGGGCGGGTCATGCCTCAGAGTTACCAGTGCTTCAGGAATGCACTAATTATTGTCAAGTCCATTTGTCCTGTCGTGTCATGATTTCTCTCCTTACTTACTAAAGAAGCCATTACAATATGAATCATATATGTAAGCTCAAGTAAATGTATACAAATGTGGTAAGAAGTATTTTTCTATCCAGGGACGTTCCGCAATCCCGCTGGAATCGATTCGGCGCTACGTGACGTCATCAGTAGCCATGGCAACCCCACAGGTCACCCATCCCCCCTCTCCTGTGACGTTTCCAGCCAACAGCCAATGAGAGCGCCTGATGATCTGTCGGAGGAACGAGTTCTAGAATATGATTGGGCGGACGATTCCCAGTCTTGAAGGCTGCATATGGAAGTTGTCCTGGCGGTGGTCGCCTGGAAGAGCCCGTGGGAGCCTGTAGTGGTGGAATGTGCTGCGCGAAATTTGACTTGTGCTAGTGTAAACACGGGAACACAGAGGACTACCTCTTAAGTTGTACTGAATCGTCAACAACCAACAGATACCAAAGACCTTTAGAAGCTACGATGGGACTGAGCGCGGGCGTGTAACGAAGGGATCACTAGCCAGAGAATTTCCAGTGTTGACTGTGGCGGCCATCTTGAGCTGGCCATGGGCGGGAGGTGGTAGCGTGAGACGTGAGGCGCGCGGACGTGTGTTTGTGGCGACGGTGGTGTAAAGTCGGCAAGGTGGAGACTCCAGGTATCATATCGTCCCTGTCTAAAGTGTTCACCATGGGAACGGTGCTCAGCTTCAGCCCCAGGGAGCAGAAGCCCTACTATGGCGACTACACCCTCAATAACCACAATTACGAGACGCTCAACAACGTCCGTAATAAGGAGAAGGTTGTCAACAATGAAAATGCCAACATTCTCAGCGAGAAGAATGCTCTGGAGAGAAACTTTAAGAAACACTCGTTATTCATCAATGCTCTCAGTTGGAAGCGCTTCTCCAACACAAACAAGAAGAAGCTTGACAACAAAAACAAAAACTTGACCTTGCGTCAGCCGTTAGACAACATCCACCCGTTCATTGACAACAACAAAAACATCCAGAAGGCCCTGTCCTGCTACAATATCCGGCCCAGCTCCATGGGCCAGCTGGACCTGGTGCGTGTCAACAACAACAATGCCCACACCCCGACAGAGAAGCTGCCTCCCAAGGCCACCCTCACCTCCGCGCCCTCCACACATACCCACGACCTCCGCAATGCTCTGGTGCCCTCCCGTCCTCCGCCCCACCACCAGCACCACAAACCCCAGCACCAGCAGCAGCAGCAGCACCCATCCCAACTGGGGCCAGTGTTGGCACCCTCCCTCTCCACCAGCAGCAGCATCAGCAGCGGCGGATGCGCCTCCAACGCCACCACCCCTACTGGTGTCAGTCCCACCAAGAAGACAGTGATCCAGGCCTCTACCTCAGAACTGCTCAAGTGCTTGGGTCTCTATCTGCACCGCACCTGCTCCCGCTTGAGGGACTTCCAAGCAGGCGACGCCGTCATGTGGCTCAGGACAGTCGACCGTTCCCTCCTGCTGCAGGGCTGGCAGGTATGTCTCACTCTCATAACCTCAGCAACATTCTTAATTGCAGCGAACCCACGACAGGATACGTGGGACCTGGAGACTATAGTCTGACAGTGATGGAAAAGTTCTGCATCTGCTTCCTTGGGCGGCCATGTCTAGTGAACACACGCTACCCCGCTTATGCCTTCTTTCGGTAATGGCACACTTTATGTAAGTGGTCAAAAGGGCCATTCATATGGGAGTTGATGTCACGCCGTTTGAGTTAGGTCTTGGATCAGATCGCTGTTGCTGTGTGACACTCCCACCCCCCTGTTCACGTGGCACTGTGACACCTTTGAACCACTAATCTGGCACACGGTGCGATATAGTCTTTGGGCTTCATGTCTTCTGTTGATAATTACCTTCTCTCACCCGACACTGGCGACGACAACACACATCTCCCTTTCAGACCTCTCTGACACTTCCAAATCGTTCCCTTCCTGATCCGTATGACACAGTCTTTCACTTCCTGGCACTTCATAACAACTAATCTCCCGTTTTTTTCTGGCACTTCCAGCCCTTTCACTCCATGTCAGCGACACTTCCAGCCCTCTCACTCCATGACAGTGACACTTCCAGCCCTTTCACTCCATGTCAGCGACACTTCCAGCCCTCTCACTCCATGACAGTAACACTTCCAGCCCTCTCACTCCTTCATGACAGCGACACTTCCAGCCCTCTCACTCCATGTCAGCGACACTTCCAGTCCTCTCACTCCATGTCAGCGACACTTCCAGTCCTCTCACTCCATGTCAGCGACACTTCCAGCCCTCTCACTCCATGTCAGCGACACTTCCAGTCCTCTCACTCCATGTCAGCGACACTTCCAACCCTCTCACTCCATGTCAGCGACACTTCCAGTCCTCTCACTCCATGTCAGCGACACTTCCAGCCCTCTCACTCCATGTCAGCGACACTTCCAGTCCTCTCACTCCATGTCAGCGACACTTCCAGCCCTCTCACTCCATGTCAGCGACACTTCCAGCCCTCTCACTCCATGTCAGTGACACTTCCAGCCCTCTCACTCCATGTCAGCGACACTTCCAGTCCTCTCACTCCATGTCAGCGACACTTCCAGCCCTCTCACTCCATGTCAGCGACACTTCCAGTCCTCTCACTCCATGTCAGTGACTTCCAGCCCTCTCACTCCATGTCAGCGACACTTCCAGCCCTCTCACTCCATGACAGTAACACTTCCAGCCCTCTCACTCCATGTCAGCGACACTTCCAGCCCTCTCACTCCATGTCAGCGACACTTCCAGCCCTCTCACTCCATGTCAGCGACACTTCCAGCCCTCTCACTCCATGACAGTAACACTTCCAGCCCTCTCACTCCATGTCAGCGACACTTCCAGCCCTCTCACTCCATGTCAGCGACACTTCCAGCCCTCTCACTCCATGTCAGCGACACTTCCAGCCCTCTCACTCCATGTCAGCGACACTTCCAGCCCTCTCACTCCATGTCAGCGACACTTCCAACCCTCTCACTCCATGACAGTAACACTTCCAGCCCTCTCACTCCATGACAGTGACACTTCCAGCCCTCTCACTCCATGTCAGCGACACTTCCAGCCCTCTCACTCCATGTCAGCGACACTTCCAGCCCTCTCACTCCATGTCAGCGACACTTCCAGCCCATGTCAGCGACACTTCCAGCCCTCTCACTCCATGTCAGCGACACTTCCAGCCCTCTCACTCCAAGTCAGCGACACTTCCAGCCCTCTCACTCCATGTCAGTGACTCCACCTCCCCCAAGGGGTACTTCCAGACCTCTTAGGTTTCGAGCACCGATCTCTGTCCGGATCTCTGTCACACTCCTAAACCTTCTGGCACTGCCGCACTTCTCGCCTGGTAACGTGATTATTTGACAATTGCGACCTCTTGTCTCCCACTAACACTTGCAGACCTCTTGACCCTCTTGACACTTCAAAACACTTCCTAACCCGGAATTTAGTTTTATTTTCCTCCCGTAGTCTTGCATACTCTAAGTGTGATCAAATAGAATTTAAGGGCATCTGAAACTAAACCGGAATTTAAGGGGAAATATTAGCATCTATGGTTCGGTCTGGCAAGCTGGGATGTGTAAGAGGGGACGGGGACCGACGGGACGGGCTAGGAAGGTCGAGGGGACGATCCTGGGAGGTTGAGGGGATGGGCTGTGAACGTGGGGAGGACGGGATAGTAAGGTCGAGGGGACAGGGTGAGGGAAAGGTGCGTCCCCCAATCTACATATACACATCTGGGGGTCTCATTCAACCGTCACACACCCGCCTGGGGGTCCCCCTCAACCGTCACACACCCGCCTGGGGGTCCCCACTCAACCGTCACACACCCACTTGCGGGTCTCACTCAACCGTCACACACCCACTTTGGGGGTCTCACTCAACCGTCACCCACCCGCCTGGGGGTCTCACTCAACCGTCACACATCCACTTGGGGGTCTCACTCAACCGTCACACACCCACCTGGGGGTCCCCCTCAACCGTCACACACCCGCCTGGGGGTCCCCCTCAACCGTCACACACCCACCTGGGGGTCCCCACTCAACCGTCACACACCCACTTGCGGGTCTCACTCAACCGTCACACATCCATCTGGGGGTCCCCCACAACCGTCACACACCCGCCTGGGGCTCCCCCGTCACACACCCGCCTGGGGCCCCCTCCCCGTCAACCGTCACACACCCGCCTGGGGGTCCCCCACAACCGTCACACATCCACCTGGGGCCCCCCACAACCGTCACCCACCCACCTGGGGGTCCCCCCTCAACCGTCACACACCCGCCTGGGGCTCCCCTGTCACACACCCACCTGGGGGTCCCCCCTCAACCGTCACACACCCGCCTGGGGCTCCCCTGTCACACACCCACCTGGGGGTCCCCCCTCAACCGTCACACACCCGCCTGGGGCTCCCCCGTCACACACCCACCTGGGGGTCCCCCCTCAACCGTCACACACCCGCCTGGGGCTCCCCCGTCACACACCCGCCTGGGGGTCCCTCTACCCTCACATAACTGCCTGATAAGATGCCAGGGGTCTGGGCTGCCAGCTCCACATTAACTGACTCCCACGTACCAGTGCCATTACCGACCCCTTCTCTCTACTTCTTGCCCTCTCTCTCTCTCTCTCTCTCTCTCTCTCTCTCTCTCTCTCTCTCTCTCTCTCTCTCTCTCTCTCTCTCTCTCTCTCTCTCTCTCTCTCTCTCTCTCTCTCTCTCTCTCTCTCTCTCTCTTGCATATTATCTCCATTTTCTTCTTTCCATCTTTTCTCGTGCTTCCCACCTCCAATCACTATTTTTCTTAGCTACCATTTTTTTTATCCACCATCTCTTCTTGCCCATTAACTTCCTGTTTGTTCCAATACACACAAAACGTTGTGGCCCCTCTTCCTGCCCCCTGACCCCTGCCCTCCCAGGTACAGCCCCCCTCCTGTCCTCCCAGGTACAGCCCCCTCCTGTCCTCCCAGGTACAGCCCCCCTCCTGTCCTCCCAGGTACAGCCCCCCTCCTGTCCTCCCAGGCACAGCCCCTCCGTGTTACTGTGCAGGGAGCGCACAGTGGGAGAACGTGTCGGGAGGATTAAGGATTAATCCCGGCCGGTCTCTTGCCAACTGGGAAGCACCTGCTGGACTCTCCGTCGCCCGCCACCACACTCACCACCACTCTCACTATCACACTACACAACCACCACCACTCTCACTATCACACTACACAACCACCACCACTCTCACTATCACACTACACAACCACCACCACCACTCTCACTATCACACTACAGAACCACCACCACTGTCACTATCACACGACAGAACCACCACCACTCTCACTATCACACTACAGAACCACCACCACTGTCACTATCACACTACACAACCACCACCACCACTCTCACTATCACACTACAGAACCACCACCACTGTCACTATCACACTACACAACCACCACCACCACTCTCACTATCACACTACAGAACCACCACCACTGTCACTATCACACGACAGAACCACCACCACTCTCACTATCACACTACAGAATCACCACCACTGTCACTATCACATTACAGATCCACCACCACTGTCACTATCACACGACAGAACCACCACCACTCTCACTATCACATTACAGATCCACCACCACTGTCACTATCACACGACAGAACCACCACCACTCTCACTATCACATTACAGATCCACCACCACTCTCACTATCACACGACAGAACCACCACCACTACCACGACGATGAGATGGGAGGATGATTCCTGGGGCCAGATTCACGAAAGCACTTACGCAAGCACTTACGAACGTGTACATCTTTCCTCAATCTTTGACGGCTTTGGTTACATTTATTAAACAGTTTACAAGCGTGAAAACTTGCCAATCAACTGTTGTTATTGTTATAAACAGCCGCCTGGTGCTTCGGAGCTCATTAACTGTTTAATAATTGTAAACAAAGCCGCCAAAGATTGAGTAAAGATGTACAGGTTCGTAAGTGCTTGAGTGACTCTGGCCCCAGATCTCGTCAAACAAATCTCAACTGTAGAGTCAAGAACCATTCCACTCGCGCGGTCCCACTGCTGAGAGGTGTGAAGGTTCAGAGGAGGCATGATCACCACATACAAAATACTTAGAACTCACAGAGTACATAAGGAGTACCTGACATGCGTGGGACGTGAACGAAGGTACTCAACAACTGGGTTACTGGATGGGATTTCTGGATCAAATATACATGTCGATTGAAGGAAAAAAAGCAGGAGTTAATGACTTGTTACAAAGACTTACTGATACGTTACAAAGACTTACTGATACGTTACAAAAACAGACTTATGTTACAAAGTCTTATACTGACGTGACAAAAACGGCTCTTAAGAGACAAAGGAGGTGGTTGTGGGGAGGAAGAAGGAGTCAGACACAAGTAAGGTCTCCCCACAACAGCTGTCGTGGTGCACACGCTCAGCTGGAAGCCTCGGTAATGCTCACCAAAATATACACACACCTCGTGCGCCCTGCTTCTCTATATTTCATGTCCCACTCTGAAGTCAGCAAGTCTTTCTTGATTTATATCCCGTTTATACGTGTCCCGGGCACCACCGGGTAGGGATGGGAAGGCGAACTATCAGGGCTGATGTTGAATCTACGGACAGGACAGAAGCGATTAGGCACATTTCCTTTCATACCACTGTTCACTTTAGTAAAATGGGCATCGAAGAGGTTAGGCAGCTGTTGTGTGGAGCATGTTAGGAGAGGCCAGCTGAGACGAGGTGCCACGAGGTGCCACCAGGTGCCACACAGCCCCCCCCCCTCACGAA